AAAATGAGGTACAGGTTAAAAACATTTTTTCATTTTCAAACAATTGTTATGAACATTTCCTGAATACAAAACATGCTGAATTTTAGTGTTATTAATGCGTGGGAACAAAACATTGAAAATCCATCGCAAAATTTTGTCGCGAGATTTAAAAATTTATTGCATTGACTATTTGTTCAATGACTCATTTCGTAAATAAACTGTTTCTTTTTAAAAAGAAAATTTTTTTTTTAGATTTCGTAACGAGAATTAAGTACGTCATTGTCCAAAATACCTCTGCTATCTTGGTTAATCATAACCTGGTCTAAAATCAAACTGAATCTATTCTAATTTTTTAATGTAAAATACAAGAAGATAAAAGTACATATAAACAAGCTCAATTACAACGATATGTGATGATGTAGAATGAAAGTATAAATGTATTGACATGATCTTTTGCATATTTTTATATTCTTGCATTTATATAGTATATTACTGCCCTAGGCCGGGAAAAACAGAAAAGTCTCAGGGCACGTGAAATAAGCGACCGAGGTTGATTAGCATATGCACTAGGGCTTTCTTTTTCCCCGGTATTGGCCAGTATGCAATTTTACATAACCTGTGGCCCGAAAATAGCAATATTCCGTTTAGCCCAACGGCAGGAAAAATGCTACTTTCGGGCCACTGGTATGTAAAGATTATTAGGTTATTAAGGGGCCAAGTTGGTGTTTCGAGCTGATATTTACAAATTGCCATATAAATCGAAATAGTTAAAAAAATTTTTTTTGGTAAATAAAATTGCTGACAATTATAGCAGGAACTACGTGATGACACGCGCTACTTATATACAGCACAGAAATTTTCACCTACTTTTGTTACCCTTTCATTTGCATTTGAAAAAATATGGAAAATCTGATAAGTTCATCAGATTCCTCCTAAAAAACATGAAAAATAAAGTCTTGAAAACAAATTTAAAAATTAAAGTTCAAAAAAGTCACAATATAATTGAAGTAAACAAAAATTTAAAATCGAGAAAAGTTGAATGAAATTTCAGAAAAAAATGCAGCCAAGTTTAAGGACTCTGAAATTTCAATTCTGGTGGTTAGATTATCTAGAATTCATTGTATATGAAAACAACAGGAGTGAAATTTCAGAGTCCTTAACCTTGGCTGAATTTTTTTTCTGATATTTCATTCAACTTTTCTCGATTTTGAATTTTTCTTTTCTTCAATTATATTGTGACTTGTTTGAACTTGACTTTTTTTTTACATATTTTCAAGACATTATTTTTCAAGATTTTTCTGCTTTCATATCTTGACGCTTTTAGTTAATTAATTTTAAAGAAGTTTCATTTCTGATAGTTGTCCATAGACAGCTAACTTAATATTTTAAAATACTTTTTCAATTTTTGGAAGGGTTCTTTTTCATAGAATTTTAAAAAAGAATTCATTTTATTTTTCATAAAATCTTTCGGTTAGTTCGGGAGAAAGGGCGCGTTTTCGAGATTTTTCGTCAAATTCAGCCAAAAAAAATCGAAAATTTGCATTTTTATGAATGAAAATAATTTTAAAGCATATACTAATTTATACGGTTGGATTCGTCACAAAAAATCCTAAATTTTGGTAGTGTCAAAAATTTTCGAAGATTTTTTCTGTTCATTTTTAAACGTTGCAAAGTCGATTTTTGGATTTTTAAGCGAAAAAAAAAATCAAAAAAGTACATTTTTATCGATGAAAACGAAGTCTAAGAGCAAAACTGACTATGGCATTCGATTCTACAGATAAAAATACGTAATAAAATGTATTGTCGATATTATTTTTACTCTCGAAGCACAGTTTGAAATAAATTGAATGGTTGACCGATTTTGCTCCTATTTTGGACCACGTTTTTAAACTTCAAAAATCGATCGACACCGGTTCCCGACACTTTTTTAAGGTTCTGGACCTTATTATTTATTATTATTTCTTATTTTCGTAAAGACTTGAACTTTCAGAATCGCCATGACGTATACGCGATTTTGAACATTTTTGCAAAAGCGAACCACCCTAACGTACATAGTAGTTCAGTCGATAAGCAGGATGTTTACTGGACCAAGCACGTTCGACTACACGCTTGCAAGAGTTGGCTAGCCTGTGCGACGGAACCTCCTTAAGGTGATGCCTTGGCCACAATTTTTACCGATCGAGCACAGAGAATGTATATTTTCGTAACTTTTTTCCAGCCTGATTTTCGAAAAACGGCTCTGTGGAGCCCTCCGTATTGTAGCTGTGAATAACTGCACCAAATTTCAGCCAATTTCATCGAATAGTTTTCCCAGAAAACAGGATCGAAATTTTTGATTACTGTTTGCAGGATAAAAAATTTTGATCCTGTTTTCCGGGAAAACTATCCGATGAAATTGGCTGAAATTCGTCGCAGTTGTTCTCAGCAACAATACGGAGGGCTCCACAGTGTCTCCACAGTTCTGTGCTCGATCGGTAAAAATTGTGGCCAAGGCATCACCACGATCAAATGCGATTAAGGAGGTTCGGGGGTCTCAGAGGGGGGCAAAGCGGGACGCGAGGGGCTCCTATGTTCACCGTGTTAATAAATCAGAACTGCCAACTTCGAGATAACACAAAATTTTAGGTTTTTTCAATCAACTGGCACACAATTATAGCTATTATTAATAATTATATCATTTTGATGAGTTCTTTTCGATGTCTTAGGCGTAAAACAATATTCTATTTGCCATTAGAGTCGAATGAGCACATATTTTTGTTGTTCTAGCTTATTTGTTGGTTAGGATACGCACAAATGAGCCACGAATTTTTACACATAACAATTTATTACTCGATAACTAAACGGTCGATGAACTTTTTTTGCAATCAAATTATTCGTTATTAAATCTTTTCCTATACGTAAGTATTTTTTTCTATTTAGTTTTTATTTTTTTTACATTATGTTTAAGCTCATTGAAAGTCGAAAATTGATGATTTCTCATAAGAAACCATGTTAAAAGGTCAAATATTTTTTTTCATAATTTTAACAAAACTTTTTGGTAAAAAGTTGTATTTTGATTTAAAGATTTATTATATAAAGTTTCAAACCAAATAAATGTTTTTTAAAAACTTGGCTGCATTTTGAATGAGACCCCCGAACCTTCTTAAATATAATTATATTCCACGCCAGCACAGGTATGTCACATACTGCGGTTCATGAGTATAGACATATATGTGAAGCGCAAACCATAGATGATTCCTATGATGTGTTGTTACCCGACGCCGCACAGACGTTGCAAAGGTATGAGCGTCGAACACACTCGTTTACGTGACGTGTCTCAGTAGAGGGGGTCTAGCAGAGTATTTACACTGCTGAACGCTGACCAATCACAGCGGACGGACGGAAAGACGGACAGACGTTCGTTTTCCAGGGCTTGACTTCTTATACAGGGATCCCTCGTTATACGCTTACCTTCCGGAAAAGTGCCGCGTATAGTGAAACTCGCACATATCAAGGGAAAAAACGGATGGTGACGTTAATAGTGTTTTTTATTAATATAAAAATTTACTCTTCCTCTGAGTAAATTTAGGATTTTTAATTTTTTAGCTAAATTCGTAAATTTTCTTTTTTAACTGGAGTTTTGGACATTTTTCGAGTTTTTGAAGCCATACAAAAGGTCATTAAAAATATATTTTCGACCGTCTTGAACCGCGTACAAGGTGAACTTATCCGCGTACAACGAGACATCGTCGCATTTGACAATCCGCGTATAAGGGTAAACTGCGTATACAGAAGCCGCGTATAACGAGGGATCCTTGTACCTAAGGCGCGTAAAAAAAGTTTTACTTCAATAATCCTACCGATATGAGCTATTTGGATTTTCCAGTGGTCCACTACTTCCTCTAGAAACAACATTAAAAAGTTGAGAATCATGAAAAGTGATCAGTGACCACTGGTCACACCTAAAATTCGTCACACCTAAAGTAGTCTTACGGAATGCCTATCGTAAAATGTTACGCACTTTATAAATCGAGGCTCAAGCTGTTGATGTGTTGAATGATAAGTAAATTTTTCTCGTTAAAAACATCTGGCTAATCACCATGAGGGCCCGTTCAATAGGTTGGAATTTGGACTCAGCGATTACTTTCTCGAGGAATTCGAAATATTTTATATTCATACTACATCTGGTTGCCCAAAAAAACTCCTACCTTGCTCTAGAATCTTATTACATTACTTTTTCATGATACTAAATATTGTGATTGGATTATTTGACTACGTGATTCTGGCGTGAGTTTTTCAATAATATACTGTGTTCAATAATATCTGTGAGGTCTCAAAATCTTCAGAAAAGTACCTTCATCTACCTGAATGGAGCAGAATTAAAAAAAAAAGTTTTCTCCTCTCCCAAGAGTTTAAATATGCCATTGAACGTTGATAAAATATTGATTTTTTTTTAAATTTTTCTTATTTTGACGAATACTTGAAAAAGTATTCAATTTTTCCAAATTCTGCACCACTTAGGTGGAAAAGGGTACTTTTTTGAATATTTTGAGATCTCATAAATCGAAATTGACGAAGAACTCGCTTCAGGATCATACAGTAAGTGAAATACATAATATTTATAACGCAATATTTAGTATTATGAAATGAGTAATGTAATCAGGATTTCAGAGCTTAGGTAGAAGTTTTTTTGGTCAATCAGTGGTAGTGTGAACATATTTTAACCATCAAAAGAAAATATATTTCAACTATTTCAATTTGTATGGCCATTCAAATGAACGTTCAAATATTAGCTCGTTACACCATCTTGTTCCCTTAAGTTTCATGAGCATGAAACTTGAGCGTGAAAACGAATGCTTTGTTGCATTTCCCATATCTGTTAAAACCCTACACCTTTGATTATTTTCAACATAATTTTTCGATATTCAAATTGCTCAATCAAGAAGTTAAATAAGAAATCCCCTTTATTAGTTGGAATCTTTGTGTTCCATTCGTTCAAAAGGCTACTAAAAAGACAAGTGAGTAACACATCAATAACTTACTTTTTCAAAGGCACTGTTCCTGCGGGCCCTTGCCCTGCACCGTTTCGGGCATCAGTCACTCTACAGGCGACCATATTATACGCTGAAAGCAATTCTGAAAAAACATCATCGCGTATCACTTGTGATTTTTGGAAAAACTGTGCAGTAAAATTTTTATGGAAACATTCCAGAGATTAATACCTTTTTCTTGTTTTCGTCGCTTTCGTTTATTGCAAATTTTTACAGCACATATGCTAAGAATGATAGCAACTATGAAAAAGAGTATACCGCCTACTACTCCGGCAGTGATGGCCTTGTGTTTAACTCGCGCTGGCACTGAGTATTTTATTTGATCGCTTACCCCAGCAGCATCCGTTGAATTGGCGAATACTAAGAAATAATAAGTTCTGCCACCGACTAGATTTTTCACTAAAATTTAATGAATAGATCAATATAATTATTCGTCAAAATAAATGTTAATAAAATTTTTTTCATATTTGTACCAAAATAGTTATTACTTACTCAAGTAACTGGTATCTTCTGGTCGAATATTTCCCTTATTGAGAGTTTTCCAAGGACCATCAGTTTTAAAGTTTATAGAATAAAATTTGACAAGATGACTTCTTTCAAGAGGAGGCATCCATGTGATAAGAAAACCATTACTTAATTCTTGCACTGATACGTTTCTTGGCGGTCCAGGCCGAGGTAGGTGATGATCTGTAAGGAAAGAGCATAATCAAATCTATATCTGATTTGAATATGTACTGGAGCTTAACAGCCCCGATGACAAGGCCTACCATCAAGAGGGGTAACTTGTTCTTTCAATGGTAATTCAAGCCCACCTGTAAAAATATATTTATTTATGTTATACTTGCTTAACGAGAAAAATGTTATGGTAATGGATTAATGATGGCGTTCACTGTTTCATTAAGCAATTATAACGTAAACAAGCACATTTTTTTACATATGGGCTGATGAATGATAATGATGATGAATAATGAAATGAGTACGATCTTAGCAGAAGATAGTTTCATTTTTTTGGAATTTATCTCTTGATTTTTTTTTTTTGGATTAGAATTTATTCGTATTGATCTTATTCGTGGTAGTTATTACTTCAAATTAATATGATAATGATTTAAAACTTGAATCTACAGTAGGGTGGTCCACTTTTTCAAAAATTTTTTGTATCTCGGGAGATCCATCGGAATCAGAAAGTTTGAGGTTTAAAATGAATTTTCCCGTAAACTAGAGCTCAAAAAAATGATTTTAGATGGTGTCGATGGATTTTTGAAGTTTAAAAACGTGCTCAAAAAAAGAAGCAAAATCGGGCTTTCATTCGATTTATTTCAAAATCTATTTAGAGTGTAAAAATAATCTTGACAATACATTTTCTTATGTGTTTTTGTCTGCAGAATCGAATGCCGTAGTCAGTTTTGACCTAGAAGCTGAATTTCATTCAAAAAAATACACTTTTTCGATCGTTCTTTTTCGCAAATTCCGCAAAGTTCATTTTCAAGCGAGTGGCAAATGAACAGAAAAAATCTAGAAAATTTTTGGACACCACCGAAATTTAGGATTTTTTATGACAAATCCAATGGTATAAATAAGTATACACTTTGAAATTATTTTAATGCAGAAAAATACAACTTTATCCCAAAAAACGACATTACGAAAAATTGAAAAATCGAAAAGTGTATTAGTTTCTTCCAGAAAATGGCTAAGTAGAATCAACTATGGAAAAAATTGCATGAAACTATCTGATAGGTTTTTTTCTCACCTTTCCAACGCCGGGATTCGCTGAGATACAGCTGTTTTTGTACGATGCATTTTTTAGCTTAAATTCTGCTTCGCTGGTTGTTTAATGAATAGATCTAGCTCAGAATTATTGAATTTTAAGCTTAAAAAATGCATCGTACAAAAACAGCTGTATCTCAGCGAATCTTGCGAATTTTTAACTTCTGAAACCGGCGTTGGAAAGGTGAGAAAAAAACCTATCAGATAGTTTCATGCAATTTTTTCCATAGTTGATTCTACTTAGCCATTTCCTGGAAGAAACTAATACACTTTTCGATTTTTCAATTTTTCGTAATGTCGTTTTTTGGGATAAAGTTGTATTTTTCTGCATTAAAATAATTTCAAAGTGTATACTAATTTATACCATTGGATTTGTCATAAAAAATCCTAAATTTTGGTGGTGTCAAAAAATTTTCTAGATTTTTTCTGTTCATTTGCCACTCGCTCGAAAATGAACTTTGCGGAATTTGCGAAAAAGAACGATCGAAAAAGTGTATTTTTTTGAATGAAATTGTGCTCCTAGGTCAAAACTGACTACGGCATTCGATTCTGCAGACAAAAACACATAAGAAAATGTATTGTCAAGATTATTTTTACACTCTAAACAGATTTTGAAATGAATCGATTGATAGCCCGATTTTGCTTCTTTTTTGGAGCACGTCTTTAAACTTCAAAAATCCATCGACACCATCTAAAATCATTTTTTTGAGCTCTAGTTTACGGGAAAATTCATTTTAAACCTCAAACTTTCTGATTCCGATGGATCCCCCGAGATACAAAAAATTTTTGAAAAAGTGGACCACCCTAATCTACAGGTTATCAAATCGAAGGAAAAACTGTGTTTGGCAGCAGAAATTGCAGGATGAAAATTCAATGATACATAAAAAAAATGCACAGCTGAAATGGCTAACAATATGTTAAAAACTAAAACATGTATAAAATGGAACAGAATAAAGATATCGACAGCGATTTCATAAAATGCTAGCTACTAAAAAGTATTTACTTCTATATTTATAAGATTATTGTTAGTAAGATTAAATTTTTAAATAACTTATGTACTAATGATTTAAAATTAAACAAATCAACAGGCAAATAAAAATATTTCACACCGGATTCTGAAAGAGCATACCTAAAAACCCGTGGATGTGGGTTTTCAAGAAAAGATTTTAACTTAATCTATGATTTTTTCATAATGGAAAATTCATGCACAAAATTGCACTTTTGCGAGTTAATGGGTTAAAAAGCGATCGGCGTCAAAAGTTTTTTTTCATTCCACCCTAATGTTTGGTCATGAAAATATTTTTTTGTTTAAAGTCGTTATATATAATAAAACCAATACAAGAAAAATTGAGATGATGGGCAAATTTTTTTTACTGCAATGTCTATTGCTTCCTCACAGAGGAATTGCTACGTGATAAGCTCATAAATAAGACTTGGAACTAGACGCTGTAGGAAAATTTGCATTACATATTTGGAAACTACATTGAATTACCGACAAATGTGTGTGTGTGTGTGTGTGTGTGTGCGCGTGTTCTTTAACTAGGAAGGATATCCATAAGTCGGACTCGAGTAGTGTACTGATGTTAGTGTACTGTTGTTAAGTGGGTTAATTTATGCTTCTCTACTTATACGCGCTAAAATCTTCCTCTTCTCCTGTCCTTGTTCTTTCCCGCGGGACCACCGTTAGGCATTACTTCGCGGAAAGAGGCCATAGCTCTGTTCGAGCTCATTCTGGTGTTAGTAAGTCTACATGTTCCGTCTCCTTTATACCGCATCGTCCGGTAATCTTCTTCGGTCCTTCTGTTCACTTCTCAGTCTTGTTATGACTGCGCTCAACGGCAAGGATAAACCGAAAAATCGTCTCAGACTCCAAGGGCCCGCTAGTAAGATGTCGCATTTTCTCTCTTTCCACCGTGAATCGAGAACAGTTGAAAAATATGTGCCGACGTCCTCCACTGCAGGAGGGTGGACCGGGTACGAATTGCCCATGCCGTTTTTGCTGTGCCATAGATATAACCTAAAACAACCGTGGCCGGACAGGAGTTGGGTGAGGTGGTAGTTTACTTCTCCATGTCTCCTCTCGATCCACGGAATAATGTTTCGAATGAGCTAGCGAGTGCAACGACCCTTCGTTGAGCCTGCCATTCCTCCAGAGTTCTGGCATGTTCCTCCTTCTCTACGTCCTCACAACGACTCTCATAGAGTCTCGAGCGCTCGTCAACGAGAAAAACCAGCGATGGAGTGCTGGTGAGAACATATGCGGCCTCGTATACGAAATGCTGCGAAAGCCACAGATCGCAAGAAGACTTGTTCGTCGGTGAATTGTTGCTGCTCGACGGACGTAGCATTGCGTTCTCATATCATCCTTCCACGTCATGACACCGTGAAGCAGAACAAAGTCGAAGACACTGACGAATAGCCTGCGTTAGCTGCTCCCAAAGTCCTCGACATTGGGCATCGGGCTAAGCAAAGGGCCCGCCATCCGAAGGGCCTTGTCACTGACAGCAGCCAAGTGTTGATCGAATTTCAGTCTTTCGTCGATGTACATTCGAAGGTATTGGATTCAGGGATGTTTCAATCTTCGGTTCTAAGGTTGATGTTCTCTTGCAGATGCTTGTTCGTAACCAGCAGAACATCAGTTTTCTGATTGGTGGTTGGCAATATTAGTTCACCAAGTACTATGCGAATCATCCGGATAGCCTTATTTGTGTCCATCTCGATATCTTCCAGATGTTTGCCGACTATGGTGAGCACATGACGTTTCACAGGATAGGGCTCAAGGCAAACCCCTGCAGTACGCCTGCTGTGACTCTGCAGGACTCTGGTCCGTCGTCCGTATTGCAGTCCAGCACCCTCGCTGAGAGATAGCTGTTGCATGCTCTCTTCAGAGCTCTTTCAGGGTAGTGGTTGGTATAATTTCTTCTGTCTGGATGGTGGTAGCAGAGCTGGTTCGTCAGGCACGAGAGGAAAGAGGGCAGCTACTATGCGGTGCACCAGGGACGGACAGCTTGTCGAATTTGCTCTCAGTCCTCTGAGTCGGGACATGACCGTCTCGTATGGTTTGCCCCATATGTCCTCGTTGACCTCGTCGCATAGTTTGTTTCAGCACAGGCGCTTGCTGGTCTTGATAGCCGCGCGCAGGAGACGTCTTGCGGAGGCAAAGCTCGCTCGGCAGGCATCTTCATTTGGCCGGCCACGCGCTCTTTGGGCAAGCCATTACGCTCGCAGACATGAGCGCTGGATGTCGATGATCTCGCTTGTCCACCAGTCACGACGACGTTGTCCACTTGCCTTGGTCATAGAGGCGTTGCATGCACCGGTAATGGCGGCCATAAGCCTTGTTGCCATCTCTTCTGCAGGCCCGGGTGGAACCACCGCACTGTGCGTACTGGAGAGTTGTAACGTGCAGTCTCGTTAATCGACATCCCCATTTCGTCGACCAGGCGTTGAAGTCACCCGCGACGATGAGCGGCCTCTTGCCCCGGGCTTCCTCAGTGATGTTGGTGAGGAGGGTGGAAAATTCTACATCAGCGAGTCTTGGTGGTGCGTAGACACTGAAAAAACTCTCGCACTCTCTGCACCCAGATCGCGGCTTGGCTGTTGGCATCGGCAAGCCATGTATAGGGTGGATCTAAGTTCTTGTACTGATCACACACTATGGACACGTTGATGCACTGCTCACGAATGGTTTGGTTCAGGAGATCCTGAGCAGCCTTACAGTAATTGAGATTGATCTGTAAGATCCTCATCATCGGCGGGCTTGGGCGGTCTTCTATGCAAGAAGGCAGTACTGGCTTGTAAACGCATGGTCGTGGACAGCGCCTAGTTTTTGGCAAAATACGCACGTTGAATTGTTCATGCCATCTTTTACCTGGCGGTCTGCTTGTCCGCAGCGGAAATAGTGCTTGGAGCGATCAGGTCCCTTGCAGCGGGCCAAGACGTGGCTGGGGCTCCAGCAGCGGTAACAGCGCGGAGTATTTTCGCAACCACGGATGCGGCAGTTGACCCAACCAATCCATATGTGGCCAAGTTTCAGCGCCTTGGCGGC